TAAGACCCCAAAGTTCGAAAAGTATGATGGGCATGGGGATCCCATAGCCCACCTCAAGAGGTATTGCAACCAATTACGGGGAGCAGGTGGAAAAGAAGAGCTCCTCATGGCATATTTTGGAGAGAGCCTGGTCGGTATTGCTTCTGAATGGTACATGGATCAGGATATATCTCGGTGGCATATTTGGGACGACCTGGCTCGGGATTTCGTCAGGCAGTTTCAGTATAACATCGACATAGCCCATGACAGAAATTCATTGTCCAACCTCAAGAAGAAGTCCTCGAAAAGCTTCCACGAGTATGCTGTCAAATGGCGCGAACAAGCGGCCAGAGTCAAACCTCCAATGGATGAAGTGGAGATGGTCAGTGTTTTTCTTCAAGCCCAAGAGGCTAACTATTATCAGAATATGATGTCTGCAATGGGCAAACCGTTTGCCGAGGCCATAAAAATCGGTAAAATGGTTGAAAATGGGTTAAAGACAGGGCGCATCCTGAGTCAGTCTGCTATAAGGGCTACCTCCCAAGCAATTCAAGGCGGGTCTGGAGGTGTAGCAAACCGAAAGAAGAAGGAAGAAGCGGCAATGGCAACTTCAAGTGTAAGAAAACCCCGTCCACCTAGACCTTATTTCTCTGAAAGAACCCCACAACATTACTATCCCCATCAAGACGTGGCCTACAATATGGTCCCTCAGCCATACGCAGTGATGAATGCCCAACCCTACGTTAGGCCACAACAATAATTCAATCAAAACCGAGCTCCATTTCCTAGAAATCAACCTCCTCACCAAGATCAGTATAATCCCCGACCTCCACAAAACAACTTCCCCTACAATGCCCGTGCCCGAGAACCACCCAAAATGGCAAACTTCACACCAATTGGTGAGGCATATTCCAGCCTTTTCCCCAAACTTGTCTAGATGGGTTTGTTGCAGCCTGTACCCCAAGCCAGGAAGAATCCAGCGTTGCCCGCCTATAGAGCCGTTACTCGATGTGCTTACCACTCAGGGGCGGAAGGGCATGATACAGATGACTGTTGGACCCTAAAGAGGGCTGTGGAAAATCTGATAAAACAAAAGAGAATAGTGCTATAGGACGAAGACGTTCCTAATGTAACTAACAATCCATTACCGGCTCACAACAACGGGCCGGTTATTGGAATGATTTATGAAGACAGGGAGTTTGACCCAGCTCTAAAAGCCATCATTGCCATAGCCGATGTGGAAAAGAAGCCAAGGGTTGTCGCAAAACAAGACAAGGGGGAGAAGAAGAGTAAACCCACCCCTCAGAATACAGAGAAGAAAGAGGAAACCAAAGCTGGGGCAGCGCCCTCAAAAGATGCCGTTCTCTATGTTCCCCGGGGCCACAAGAAAGACCAGATGTCATTGAGCCCTCCAAGAAGGTTTGATCTAAACAAGGGATCTAAAATGTATGTGCCCAAAGGGACCTACGTGGTGCCGGGGTCAGTAATTTCACCAAGGCTGAATGAGCCCGTGGTTATTGGCCGCGCACCGCAAAGGCCCATGTTAGATCCCACTGCCGTTTCATGGAATTACAACAAAGCGGTAGTAACTTACAGAGGTAAAGAGATCTCGGGGGAAGTTAAGGAAAATAACCCGGCTGAGAAATACCTCAATCTGGAGGAAGCGAATAATGCCACGAAGAAGCTTTTCCCACTTAAGAAGCTAGTGACTGCTGAAGAAGCAGAAGAGTTCTTCTGAAAAATGAAAATGGCGGACTACGAGACAGTTGACCAACTTCGGAAGTCTCCTACTCAAGTCTCTTTGTTGTCTTTGCTAATGAATTCAACTGAACATCAAAAAGTGTTGATCAAAACTCTTAATGAAGCATATGTACCCATTGAAACCACTGTGGAACAGTTGGAGAGGATGGCGGAAAAGTTTTTTGCGGTCAATCAAATCTCTTTCAGCAAGAATGATTTGCCCCCGGAAGGGGCCACCCACAACAATATCTGACAGTTAAATGCGAAAGGTATTATGTGAAAAGGGTCATGCTAGATGGTGGTTCTGGGATAGATATTTGCCCTCTCTCAACTCTGCAACATATTGAAATCGGTATTGATAGAATCAGGCCCAACAACGTCTGTGTGCGTGCCTTTGACGGCATCAAGAGAGATACAATAGGCGAGATTGATTTAATTCTGACTATTGGGCCGGTGGATTTTGAGGTGACCTTTCAGGTCTTGGACATGGATACTTCCTTTAATTTCCTCTTGGGGAGACCATGGATTCACGCAGCAGGGGCTGTACCTTCTACTCTCCACCAGATGGTGAAATTCGAACATGAAGATCAGGAGATTGTAGTTCACGGAGAAGATGAGCAGTCGATCTACCGGGACCCGTCAGTCCCTTGTCTTGAAGCTAGAGAAGGAAGTGAACGTATAGTCTATCAAGCTTTTGAGGTTGTGGTCGCGGACCAATATGAAGAAGGGAACCCCTGTCCTCAACCCTTTCTATCAAATGCGTCAATTATGGTTGCCAAACAAATGATCAGGCACGGTTACAAACCCGGGAAGGGGCTCGGGACGTCGTTGCAAGGAATCACCGAACCCATCACCCTGGATGCTAGTGAGAAGTTCTTTGGGGTAGGTTTCCAACCCACTCCAGCTGATGGAAAATAGGCAGATGAACGAAAGAACAATGGTTGGGTCTTGCCTCAGCCGATTCCGCATCTTTATAGAACATTTGTCAGGCCCAAGTACAATGAGGAAGAGGAAGATGAGGCCTTCACGGCTGAGGAAATTGAAGAAATCTGTGGGGCTATGAGGCAAATGCTGTACGAAACCCACATGGTCCAGCCGGGAGAAGGCTCAAGCACCGCTGAGGTGCTATATATGGGACCCGATGCCAAATTGCAAAATTGGAAGGCTACTCCGTTCCCAATCAGGCAGGAATCCCGGTAGTCTAGTCCTGCCACCTTTTCTGCATCATGAGTTATTTCAGGGTGTAACTCGGACGTTTTCTTTAGTTTCCTGTCTTTAAATTCCAACGTAAACCCTGTTATCTTCAAAATTCAATGAAATGAAATCAATATTTCATTGTTCATCTCTTTTTATTCGTTCTGATTTTTGTTACTTTTTCTTATTTCTTCTTTCAGTTCTAATAATGCGGCTTTAAATAACATGACATGCTTGCGGACTTCATGCCCAGATCCAAACACGCTGTCTAATTGTGAAATAATAAACCAAGAACCGGAATATGATGAAGAGGAGGCTTTTAGGGAAATAAATCGAGAATTGGAACAATTTGAGAATAAACCTAAACCAAACTTAAATGAAACCGAGCCGGTTAATTTGGGTAGTTCTGAAGAAGTCAAAGAAACCAAGATAAGCATTCACACTTATGAAAAAGCCCGAGATGCATTGATCCAACTTTTGTTTGAATTCAAAGATGTGTTTGCTTGGTCATACGATGACATGCCAGGACTAAGTGTTGATTTGGTGGTTCACAAGTTGCCAACCTACCCCGATTATCCCCCTGTCCAGCCAAAGCAAAGAAAGTTCAAAACTGATATCAGTGACAAGATTAAAGAAGAGGTCACAAAACAGTTGAAAGCGGGGGTGATCCGAGTGGTCCGATACACCACATGGTTAGCCAATGTAGTTCCAGTGCCAAAGAAAGACGGGAAACTTGAGTATGTGTGGACTACAGAGATCTGAACAAAGCAAGTCCCAAGGATAACTTCCCTTTGCCGAACATCCACATCCTTGTTGATAGCTGCGCCAAACATGAGATACAATCCTTCGTGGATTGTTATGCAGGATATCACCAGGTGTTGATGGATGAAGAGGATGCGGAAAAGATAGCTTTCACCACACCCTGGGGCACCTACTGTTACAGGGTCATGCCTTTTGGTTTGAAGAACGCCAGGGCAACCTATATGAGGGCCATGACTGCCATCTTTCATGACATGATGCACCAAGAAATTGAGGTGTATGTAGACGACGTGATCATCAAATCTAGGACCCAAGACGACCATGTTCGAGACTTGAGAAAATTCTTTGAGCGGCTACGCAAATATGATTTGAAGCTAAATCCAGCCAAATGTACATTTGGGGTTCCATCTGGCAAGCTCTTGGGATTTATAGTCAGTCGAAGGGGCATCGAGTTAGACCCAACAATGATAAAGTCTATTCGAGATTTGCCTCCTCCAAGAACCAAGAAAGAGGTTATGAGCCTTTTGGGAAGGTTGAACTACATTAGCCGATTCATAGCTCAGTTGACTTCCACATGCGAACCCATCTTCAAACTGTTGAAGAAAGATGCAGCAATTAATTGGACAGATGAGTGTCAAGAAGCCTTTGACAAAATCAAAGAATACCTATCGAACCCGCTAGTCTTGGTCCCACCTGAACGGGGGAGGCCTCTATTTTGGTATTTGACGGTCTTGGAAAATTCCTTTGGATGTGTCCTCGGACAACATGACGTGATCGGGAAAAGAGAGCAGGCGATCTACTATTTTAGCAAAAGTTCACAAGCTATGAAGCCAAATATACCCTGTTGGAAAGGACTTGTTGCGCCCTAACTTGGGTCGCTCATAAAGCTTAGGCATTACCTGTTGGCCTATACCACTTACCTCATCACCAGGTTGGATCCTCTGAAGTACATATTCCAGAAGCCGATGCCCACAGGGAGGTTAGCAAAGTGACAGATCCTGCTCACTGAATTTGACATAGTCTATGTCACCCGCACGGCAATGAAAGCCCAGGCTTTAGCAGATCACCTGGCTGAAAACCCTGTTGATGATGAATACTAGCCTTTGAGCACCTACTTCCTGGATGAAGAGGTAAATTCAATTGAGGTAATATCCGAAGACACCAATGCTTAGAAAATGTTCTTCGACGGGGCCGTGAACGCAAAAGGTGTTGAAATTGGGGCAATCTTGATCTCACCCACTTGTCAGCATTATCTAGCCACAGCCCGACTTTGGTTTTTCTGCACAAACAACACTACCGAGTATGAAGCCTGCATTATGGGTATGAACATGGCAATCGACCAAGACGTCGAAGAATTATTGATCATCGGAGATTCGGATCTGATCATCCGACAAGCTCAGGGAGAATGGGAAACTCGAGATGTCAAGCTTATTCCCTACAGGCAATATGTGGAAGATCTTAGCAGGCGGTTCAAGTCAATCGAGTTCAGGTACATCCCTCGTTGTCGCAATGAATTGGCCGATGCGCTCGCTACTTTGGCCTCGATGTTGCCATGCCCAGGTAATGCCCACATTGACCCTTTGGAAATCCAAATTCGAGAAAGGCACGATTACAGCAATACGGTTGAGGCAGAACCAAATATTCAGCCATGGTATCATGATATCAAGAGATTTCTGAAAACTAAAGAATATCTCGAGCAAGCCAGTAGAGACCAAAAGAGGACTATCAGACGGCTCGCAAGTGGTTTCTTCTTGAGTGGTGAGGTCTTATACAAAAGGACTCCAGATCTCAATTTGTTAAGATGTGTTGACGCCGAAGAGGCCGGAAGAATCATATATGAAGTGCACGCAGGGGTGTGTGGACCTCACATGAACAGGTATGTTTTGGCAAAGAAAATCCTCCGAGCAGACTATTATTGGATGACTATGGAAAATGATTGCTTCAGTTTCGTCCGGAAATGTCATCAGTGTCAGGTGCACGGTGATTTGATTCATGCACCGCCTACAGAACTGCATCCCATGTCAGCACCTTGGACATTTGTTGCCTGGTGTATGGACGTCATTGGGCCGATCGAGCCAAAAGCTTCAAATGGGCATAGATTCATATTGGTCGCTATTGACTACTTCACAAAGTGGGTTGAAGCAATTACTCTCAAATCTGTCACCAAGAAAGCTGTGGTAGACTTCGTGCATTCCAATCTCATCTGCTGTTTTGGTATCCCTGCGACTATCATTACGGATAATGCTGCAAACTTTAATAGTCATTTGATGAGAGAGATATGCGAACAGTTCAAGATAATGCATCGGAACTCTACTCCTTATTGGCCCAAAGCCAATGGTGTTGTCGAGGAATCAAACAAGAACATCAAGAAGATTCTGAGAAAGATGATCCAAAGTTCCAGGCAATGGCATGAAAATTTGCCGTTTGCATTGTTGGGATATCGCACTACTGTGCGCACATCAGTCGGAACAACCCCGTATCTTTTGGTTTATGGCACTGAAGCCGTAATACCTGCAGAAGTTGAAATCCCTTGTCTTCGGATCATTGTTGAAGCTGAAATTGAGGACAGTGAGTGGGTCAAAACCCGTCTGGAACAGTTAACCCTGATCGATGAAAAGCGAATGGCAGCAGTCTGCCACGGGCAGTTGTATCAACAAAGAATGGCCCGTGCCTACAACAAGAAAGTGCGGCCTAGAAACTTTGAAGTGGGGCAACTCGTTTTAAGGCGTATTCTTCTCCATCATCAGGAAGCAAAAGGAAAGTTTGCTCCTAACTGGAAAGGACCATACATTATCAGAAAATTATTGCCAAAAGGGGCGTTATACCTGGGAGACATCGAAGGAAATGACCCCAAAACAGCTGTAAATGCAGACACAGTCAAAAGGTACTATGTCTAGTCTTTCTGTAGCAACAACATTATCCAATTAGGATGACAAATGCTTTCATTCTCGCTACCCCAAACACTCCAATTCTTTTCTAACCCTTTGAGCCGGTTACCTTTCTTTCATTACCCTCTTTGGAACTTGAAGACGTTTGTAAAACAAAAAGAAGAAGAAAAAGAAAAGAAAAGAAAAACAACAAAACAACGAAAACAAAATGTTTCCCTGAACTATGTTCGACTTGATTCTGAAAGGATACGTAGGCAGCCTCTCTGGGGTTCACTCACACAAAAACAAACCCCAGAAAATGAAACTGGGGCAGATATTATAATGGCTCAGCGATGATCCCGCCTGAACGGTTCTAAAGTTGTAATTTGATCAAAATTCTTTTTACCCAATCGTTGTTCAACTCCTTCCGATCAATCGGTGAAAGGTGTTCGAAATCGGAGAACGCAGTTGTTTGGATCCGATGCAATCAAGATGAGAGAAATAAAATGAGAGAGTCTTACTGGTGAAAACACACGGGCACCATGAGTCAACGGTGAGCAGAGAAATTGAAAATGAGAAAGTCTTGTTCGTGAAAACTCGTAAAGAGCACTATAAGGCGACGGTGAGAAGAGAAATGAGAGAGGTTGATTGGCGAAAACCCGCAAAGGGCGTCGTTGATCGAAAAGAAGAAACCCTTCACCACCATTGGCACTGAAAGAGTCCTGGCAAGGTTTCTCGGTTTTTAAAACACGGGTCGTAATGGGTTTGTGAGAAGTTGGATAGTTGTGCAGAAAAAGTTCGGCCGAGATCAAGTCAAACACCCCGTTTCAACATGAGAAGTTGGATAGTTGTGCAGATTGGGCATCCAGTCCAAGAAGCATGTCATGTCTATTGAAGTCTGCATGCACTCCAGATAAGTCCTTCTTTCCTTCCCGAAAAGGACACTTCTCTTCAAATTCACTTTCTCGTTTTTTGTTTACTTTTCTTTGAATCCCTTTCGGTATGACTATGTTCCGAAACTAATACAAAGAAAAGGTGGTAACCATTATTTTACAGGGTCTGCTTAATAAAAGCCAAGTCCAAAGAAAAGTACCCAGCCTCAGCGGGTGCATCAAGTCGATCCCGACTGGCCATGATGGCCAATGCTCTGAAGCCAAAATTATTGAAAATAAAAAGAAAATCCAAAGTCAAAAGCCCCTAGAGGTAGAATAAGGCAAAAGGGCCAAAGCCCCACGCGGGTGAACCGTCATGTGAAATTTTGGAAAAGTTGAGTTCCTCGGTTTTAGGAGAGAGATTAATCTTCAGAAAAGCCAGCAAGCAGCAGAGGTTCTCACCAAAAAAAGTTCGGCCGAGATCAAGTGATCAAAAACAATCAAGGCCACAAAACCAACCACCGTTTCAAACTAACAATTGTTCTTTGTTTGAAAATTTGAAACAGGTACAATCCAAAGCAACCGTGCAAGAAGCAGGTGCAACCAAAAAGGAAAAAGAAGTGCGCAAGTGGTAGAAACAGCTTTGCAGCAACAATCCATAAAAAGGGAAGTCCCCTCAAAGTTTTTCCCGCATTTACTCATTCTATGAAATAAAAAAAAGGAAATTGAAAGGATAAAAAAAGATAAGAAGAAAATTCAAAAAAAAAATGGTAGCTTAGGACCCCAATCTCTACTTTTACGCTTTTCCAACATAGGGTCTCCGACCCCTAGTTGAGATTTTTTAGACATAGGGCCTCCATTCCCTAGTCGCCTTTTGCCAACACAGGGCTCCAATCCCTAGTTGAGATTTTAGACATAGGGCCTCCATTCCCTAGTCGCCTTTTGCCAACATAGGGCTCCAATCCCTAGTTGAGATTTTAGACATAGGGCCTCCATTCCCTAGTTGCCTTTTGCCAACATAGGGCTCCAATCCCTAGTTGAGATTTTAGACATAGAGCCTCCATTCCCTAGTCGTCTTTTGCCAACATAGGCCTCCAATCCCTAGTTGAGATTTTAGACATAGGGTCTCCATCCCCTAGTCGCATTTTGCCAACATAGGGTCTCCAACCCCTAGTTGAGATTTTTAGACATAGGGTCTCCATCCCCTAGTCGCCTTTTGCCAACATAGGGATCCAATCCCTAGATGAGATGTTTAGACATAGGGCCTCCATTCCCTAGTTGCCTTTTGCCAACATAGGGCTCCAATCCCTAGTTGATATTTTAGACATAGGGTCTCTATCCCCTAGTCGCCTTTTGCCAACATAGGGTCTCCAATCCCTAGTTGAGATTTTAGACACAGGGTCTCCACCCCCTAGTCGCCTTTTCCAACACAGGGTGTCCACTCCCTGGTTGAGTTTTTATAGATACAGGGCTCCACTCCCTAATCTCTTTCTCTTAAAGACACACAATCCTGAATTTATTGCTTTAAAAAAAAAGGGTTTTGTTATAGATAACTTACGAAATTTTCCTAGTGAAAATAGGGGCAGACAAATTTTGTTCGTTTGTTTGTTTTGGTGTCTGAGCAGGTTTTACCTCGGGGCACAGGGTTCGAGATGAACAAAAGAATGAGTCTCAATCCAGGACAAAGAAAAGAAGAAAAACAAACGATAAAAAGAATGAAATTCAAAGTGCTGATGCGGAGAAAGGTGCGGATTGCCCAAGATATGATTGAAATCACAGGCTTCGCGTGTCCCACTTTGATCCAAAGGAAAAGAAGGAACCAGCACCTACAACTAACGAGCATCAAGATTCAGATAAGAGTCTGCAGCAAGAACCAACCGAGACTCAAGATCAAGCTTCAAAAGATTTATAGATAGGAATCTTGTAACTCGTAGCTGATAGGCTTAGCTAGTTTAGCTTTTTACTTTCCATTTTGGTGTAATAAGGAGTTGAGCAAGCAGTAGCAGCAGCAGCAACAGTGAAATCACAGCTTCCCGGTAGTCCCAGCTACCGAAACTTCCAGAACTACACTGACCTGATTCCTTTATAGCCAAGGATATGTAGGCAACCTTTGAAGCAAGGTCCGGTCAGGTCCTTTTCAAAAATGCTTCTCATGGAGTTTCAGACGGGCAAAAACTCCTCATAATTGCTCATTTTAACTTTGCCCGAAAACCCTTCGTGTCTCCGAGCAAAGAGGGGCAGCTGTGAGCACGTGATTTTTGCCCCATATGAATTACTCCTACAGAATCCCAAAGAATTGGAATTTTCTTTTAATTATTGGTTATTTTAGGAATTATTGTAGAATCTTTCTGATTATTTGCATTTTTGTGTGCATGTTTAATTTTTATTTAATTCATAACAAATATAAAAATACATTGCATTTGCATTTAGGATTTATTTTTACATTTTTAGGTTAATTAGTGAATTAGTAATTCTACAAAAATAGAAAAGATCACAAAAATAGTTCATTTTGCATTTAACTATTTCATTTTGAATTTTATAGTTCTTCTTTAAATTTAGGACTTAATTAATTATTGTAAATATTATTTGAGTATTTAGTATAATTTGGTAGGTTAATTTAATTTTTTTAGAGTTAATTTAGATATATTTTAATTTGAAAAAGAAAGAAAATTGGAAAATTAAAAGAAAAAGAGAAAAGGAAAAGGAATAAAAAAAAGTTTGATTGTTAGACTGTTTTAATTGAATTTCCCCCTGGCCCAGACACTCCCCCCCCGAAACCCGTTCAGACCCGGCCCAGTCACGCCTTAACCGGGTCCAGCCTTGACAGCTAAACCAAATGACATCGTTTGGAGTTCCCCATTTCAAATTCAATCCCAACCCTCCGTTCTATCTGATCTGATGGTTGAAACACTTTCCCCCATTTTAATTATAACTGTCTGAAAATCTTAGAGACAGCCTAGTCCAAACCCCCCCCCCCCGTCCGTCCCCGTCCCACTC